GGCTCAGGCAAATACCTGTGCCAATTATGTATAAATCTTGCTCTGTTAATGTTTTTCCTAGGTCTCCTAGATCAATGATAAAACTTGCTTAGCCTTGTGCTAAGAATAAAGGGTGGAATTTCAGCAGGAAGGAATGGAAAGGATGAAAAAGACAGAGGGGAATTTCTGTATGTTTGGGTGAATCTGTTTGCATGTTTGCATGAACATTCATGCAATCTGGCAAATAACAGTAAACATGTTACTGTGGAATATGGAAGAACGGAGACATACATCCAGTCCTCAAAGAGATTAGGCTCCGAGGGCACTGGACAGAAACGCTTTGTAATGGCTCTACGACTCTGCTTTTTGTATCAGCCCTCGATTCCCCCTTCATTGCCTTACGATGCAGTTCTTACTGAAGGTCTCTGATATTTAAGTGAGCTCTCCTTACGAAAGGCAGAAAGAGCAATTAAGTGAATGACTTTGTTGCTTTTACAGCTGGTCCTTTGGGCTCCTGCTCTATGAGATGGTGACTCTAGGTAAGGAGGATCCCCAAAGCCATGCGCACCTGTTTAGAGACAGGCAAGGGCGTTCACTTGGGTGGTGGGTGACAGGTGCTGTGAGAGGGGCTTTCAGTACAGTCCCTGGGAGTCCAGCTGGGCTGATGTGGAACCCAAGCCTGATTTGTAAGAGAGTCTTGTGAAGTTGTGACTCTCTGTCTCTCTCCCCTCGCTCTTCTTCTTAACTCTCTTTTGCTTTCCTTCTCTTTCTTTTCCCCAAGACTTTACCAATTCCAAGAGATGTTTTAAAATCCAAGGATGAGTCTAAGAGTAATCTTGCAAAAATATAAAAACACGGCCTTTAGACTTATTCATCCATTTGATTGAGAAACTACAGCACCTTCTCACGTTTGGGAAGCAGACAGTGGATCTTCTTTCTTACTTTGCTTTATTTTGTTACTTTCCTAAAGACTCAGCATTCTCCTAAATTATCAGTTCCCTTCCAAACACCTTTCTTTCCCCCCATAAATTCTCTAAAGCTATAGCCTTCCTTACTTGGTCACCAGGGAGCAACTAAATTATAGCTATTATTTTTCCTATGGCTCTGCATTTTGCAGGCAATTAGCCCCCGGGGGTGGAGGGCAGTGTTAGTTACAGGTCATGTTCTAGAGGATGCTGAGGTTCTCTTGCTCCTCTCATTCCTTCCATCCCTACAGGGGCACCTCCATACCCCGAAGTCCCTCCTACCAGCATCCTGCCGTATCTCCAAAGAGGGAAGATGATGAAGAGACCCAGTAGCTGCACACACACCATGTGAGTGGCTTTTAAAAGGCCGACTCTTCTCTCATTTCAAATTCTTTTTGCTCCTCATCAATTACACCCTTTCCGACATGGCTCAGGTGAGCCCCAGCGATCACTATGTGCTAATGTACAGCCTTAATCCAAATCTATGCAGTAAAACACATCCGCTCACATATATGCACATCACATATGTGTACGTGTATACACACATATAAACACAGACACAATATTGAGGCAACCATTGGCTACTATATTAGAAATTTAAGTTTTCTAAAACTGATAAAACTTAGTTCCTCTGGAAGCTTTAAAAACAGACCAAACCAAATTCAAGTACAGCAGTGTTTTATGTTTAAATGTCAGTCTCAGAGCCTGCCAACCTCAGTTCTACTAGAGCTGTCTTGACTTGATGAAGTCTTTGAAAACTTGACGAAAAGTCTTTGAAAACAGACCATGTTATAAATTCTCTATAAACTGGACTAAAGAAGAGACAGACTACAGGTGATAAATACTTTTATCTAGATTAAAGCAGTTTCCTGGAGAAGCTAAATAACAAAGGAGGGACAGGACCTGAATTAATGGAAGGGGCATCTAATTACATTATCTGAAATTAGTGTGAATCATATTATTCCATAACTTCTTTTTTTTCCTGCTGCAGCGGAGCTGCTACTGGTAGATGTGTTACAGCAATGGTCTGGAATACTGCAAGTTACTAATATCTAAAGATGAAAACACTTAACTTCTGTACTGGTAGATGTGTTACAGCAATGGTCTGGAATACTGCAAGTTACTAATATCTAAAGATGAAAACACTTAACTTCTGTATTGGTAGATGTGTTACAGCAATGGTCTGGCATACTGCAAGTTACTAATATGTAAAGATGAAAACACTTAACTTCTGAAAGAGTTTTTAACAATGGGAAAAAAGAGCCTGCTCTGTCATACTGATTGCAGTTTAAGAAATCTTTAGTCATTCCTGTTGCCCTGTTGAGAGGATGACATTAACAGACTTAGGAGGATGAGAAAGAATATCATCCTCTGAGAATACGGCAGGCATATCTGGGCCCGGAGCGAGAAGAGGGACACCTGCCGAGCGGGTTGATGGTTTCATGCAGCTTGGTGATTAAGCTCGTGATCTAAGGGTTATGATGTGCATGTTGGCTGGAAATGATTTGACTGAATGTGCTATGCACGATTAAGAATAAGATGTACACGCTTATATGCACGAGGCAGATAGTTTTATGCACGATGTACATATAGCACGCTAAGCGTGCTGTGACACAGATCAAAGAACCGTAGGGTGTTTTTTGTTAAGGTCTGTTAGGAGAGGAGACATGACCTTCAGACTCGCCTCGTCAAGGAAGTCTGTTTCACCCGCTTCCCTTTCAGGTATGGTCTCATGAAGTCCTGCTGGCGATGGAGCGAGGACAGCCGCCCGTCACTTGAAGAGCTACGCTCACGCCTGGAAACTGCCGCTCGAACAGCAAACGACAAGGCTGTGCTGCAGGTACCAGAGCTGGTGGTGCCGGAACTGTATGCAGCCGTGGCTGGCATCAGCGTGGAGAGTCTCTCCTACACCTACAGCATCCTCTGATGATCCTGCGGCAACACACACTTCTGGGCGATCAGATACTCTTGGAACCAATTCCTCCAAGAACAGAGAATAGACTTTCTAGTGGGACATAAAGGGAGAAATGGACATGGATCCTGGATTTTCTCCCACATATTTCCCTAGAAACCTGAAATGATGGTAGATAAGGCTGCACATGCCGTAGAATCCTTGAGACTGAGAAATATAATTTCATTTCTCTGTTAAATTTCTGCTGTCCAGGTCTGAAGACACAGGGTAGATGGGGTGGACAGTGTCATTGCAAGGGAGGTTTTAGAAATCTGCAGTGTTTGTCTTAGCATGGCACAGATAATCCACCCGCCACAGGCTGGTTTCCTCCTGAAATGTGCTTCTATCTAGGCAATTATAAGGTCCAGAACATTGGAATCAAATGAGGGAATAGAAAGCCGATAAAGAAGTTGATGAGAAGAAAAATGTAGGTTCTGTTTGCTCAGGAGGGCATCCATTAGAGAGAAGATGGAGGAATGACAAGTCTTCAGTCTCGTTCCCTTCATGCAGGGCTGGAGGAGACCCATGAAGGAAGCTCTGAGTCTCCCCTGGGGTACAGATAGGAGAAATATGATCCCCTTTGATCTAATTCTGATACAGGTAAACACTGTTGGTACTTCTTTTAACCAGAAGCTGGAGGAATCATTTCATGATTAAGAACATTCAACATGTTCTTAATGTTCATCAGGCTGGCTTCCTGGTCCCTGAGATGAGGGAGATTGAGCCCAAAGAGACAGTTAGGTCGGTGATGAATATACTGCGTATGTATTTAATATGGGAAATATGGAAACCAAGCAAGAGTGCTTAGTAGATCAGAATGTCTTTAACAAGGGCTAGGAAAGGATGTAATCTGAGATGGAAGGACGGTAGCTTCCTTCCGATGATGTACTGTGAACCTTGTTTCATTAAATTAGTATTTATTAAGTGAAGGTACGCTTTTCTGGTTATACAGTTGCCAAAATCTCTACAATATGGAAGACAAAAGTAAACAAATGGAAGTTAATGTCAATAGAAAAATTCAAGAGGCAATCTACATTGTCAGAAAAGGGATTCCTCAGAGTTCTGCAGGGGTAACAACCCCCTCACAAGGTTGTTGTGAGGACTGAATGAGAGTATGCATTTGTACAGTATCTGGTATGCATTGTGTGCTCAATAAATGTTGATCTCCTTACTGCCCCTCTTCCTATCCTAGAATTTTTCATATCTTTTTCGTTTAACATCTACTGTGGCCAAGAAGAGAACCCGGGTCTGTCAGTCACACTACAAAGCAGGACACGCTTAAAGATGAGTGTGGTACAAATGCCACGTGACTAAAACGATGACGGCATTATTTTCGTGTGAGGTCTGGATGATGAGTCACCTCCTACTACGTCAAAATACTGAAAGTATGATGATGATGACAATTCAGTTGAACATGTGACCTGTGATTTTAAAGAATGCTTTGGATACTCTAGAAGTGACACCTAAGGCTGCTATGGGAAAGATGACTGGCAGCTGAAAAGTTTGCAGAAGTTAGAATCCTGATGGAGTCATGATGAGCCAGCCAACTGAATAATGATTCTTGCACCTGTAGCAATACCACAGCGACTAGTCAGGATCTGAATGGGCGGTGAGTAGCAGCAGAGAGAAGGGGGGGTCGAGTGGCTCGGCACAAAATGATAAAGTCCTATGGAATCTCGCGGTTGCTTTTCAGCTGTTCACTTAAGTCAGATTTTCAAAATCTTTATTTATTCATTCAACTATTTTCAAAGAATTGAGTGTTAAGGCCAACTGTGCCAGACACTGTGCTAGGTGTT